AAAAAAAAAAAAAAAAAAAAAAAAAACAAAAAACAAAAAGGTAAGCGTTTTAAATAGAATTCCAATAAGTATTGACAACAGCCGAGAACTTTGAACTAACGACAGCATAACTGAAGTTTAAAGCATAAAACTTGACAGAACGCTGATGTTACGGATCCGCTCTAACCGGTAGTAGTCCGCTTAATTGCAAAACTTGCATTTGAACTATCGAAATCAACTCTATTAAATCTAGCAAATAACAAATAAATTTTTTCAGATAGCATTAGTGACCAATCTGAATCACATATAATTTATGGGGTTAAAAAACTGATATCATTTCTAAGCTACAACAGTACTTTCGCTCTTGTATTCCTCAAATACAGCGTTCAACTATTGCATGAATCTTCGGTGTTTCATCAAAACTTTCAACGCGTTTACAACTTTTCATTTCTATTGTATTGTTTATTTTTCAATTTCTTCTTTCTCCGTTTCCTTTTTTTTTCTTTTTTTTGCTGTTTAGGAGTAACTAGTAATTGAACGGTAAAAGTCGCTGTCATCTAATCAGTTAAAATACTTTGATAGTATCACTGCTGATTTCCTGCACGGCTGACAAAAAACAATTTTTAAAAAAAGTAGAATAATATTCCGAATAGGCCAAAAAACTATGTAAAATAAGCCCCGGTTAGTTTGAAGTATAACGATTGTCTATCTGAAAGGTAGGGGACAAATGTGACATATGAAGGTTATCTATGGTGCGTAACATGGGTGTATATTACTTCAAATTCTCTGTTTAGGATACAAAATTTTTTCTTTTGAACAGTATTTCTTAAATTCAGCAAAGGAAAAAACAGAACAACTTTTTTCTTTCAGGCAACCCAGCATTTCATCTTATCATTGAAGATATTAAACAGTACAAAAGTAATTTTGCTCAACTTTTATTTCTACACAGTATTCCAACAGCAGCCGCTAAGTTGAGTGGCTTTGATGAGAAGTAGAAAAACGCAGAATTACTCACTTGAATTCAACTGAGTTCAGCTTTATAAAGTCACTGGTAATTGTCTAAATCGAAAGTACGACTAATTTTATATGAAGTTTCCGCTGCTATAAAAGTTTACAAATCAAAAAAACTGTTGTTTGAACTGTTCCTGTGGCATTCAAAGTTTTTTTTTCCTGAGATTTACAGCTTTAGACTGTTAACTACGGCGGCCAAACACAGTACGCCGGTGACCCACACGAATTAGCGTAAGGAATCAGTTTTCACAGATTTTTGGTGATACCTCCGTAGTCTCAACAAATAACGTCATCACTTGGCACAATAAAGTCGATTTTGACCTCTAATTATAACATCCGTTATGATCTCGCTCTTTTAATATCCGGCGAGGTACTACGCTATCAACTGTGTCTTGAAAATCGAGCTCTGTTTAATAAAGTCACTGAGAATTGTATAATGTTAAGTACGCAAAATACCAACTAAACAAGTCTTCAAATTCACTTTTCACTGTTCACTGGCCGGTTATTCTGTTATTTGAATATCTGTTGTTAATTGCAATAGACGAAAGATTTATAGAAAAATGTCCGTCAACACACTAGAGAAGTCATTTTTTGGTTACTTTTGCTATTGGTAATTTATTATTGCAATTTTAAGACAGTAAGTTGACAGTCCTAAGTATTTGGCAATAACATAAAGGTGAGGCTAAAGCGTTACTCCAGCTAAACACTTTTTGTAGCAAAAAAAACATTGCAACTAAATTTACATTGCTCAGTGGTATTAACTGAAAAGAAAAAAGACTGTTAATCTTTTTCCAATGAGTTCTCCCCCAATAAAATTTTGCTACCTTTTTCTGCCTTTTCAATGATGAAACGGTTTAGAAAAAACATAAAATCATTTGATATTTGTTAAATTTTAATAAATTTTCTACAAGATTAAAAAATTTCTTTATTATCTTGCTATCACAAATAGACGATTAAATATTTTCAATTCCTGGAAGAGGCGTTTTTATAAATGTTTCTATTTTTGCAACTTTTCATAGGTCATCATATACACTTATCTACAATCGTAATTTAATTTTAAACCTCCATCTATGATCTATGCCCAGTTACTTCTCGACTGTATTAAATGTAAAAATCTCTTTTTCTATTTAAACGTCATAAATTTTGTTGGTAAAAACTGTTCATTCTTCCTCTTAAAAACCTTATCAACATTTTACAGATGTTCAACTACAAAAGAACTTTTTGAAGAAAAGGAGTCAATGGCTACTGTATTGCAACTGTGTCATTTCGAACACCAAAACATGCCTCTTACCCATTTAGCTCATTATCACCATAATAATTTTAGCGCCTTAAAGACAGTGTGGCACGCTGATAAGCGGAAAATTTTTTGTTACAGATATGTCTCGGCTACTCAGGAGGTCGGGGTGCCAAGACCTAAATTTTTGTCTGGTTTTCTGGGTTCTTCTCAGTCTCAGTTACTACTTTTTTCTTTAAAACTATGCCTTAAACTAACACATAAATTTTGAATAGCTGAACATCGTGTACCGTTGATTTTACAAAGTAGTAACGGGTATTAACAAAATCGCTGTTAGATCTGAAGTATAAAATTTACATCGTCATTTATAGACCGACTCTTTTTTGACCGTAAAACTCGCTAAATCCTGTAACACAGCTGTTTTTCTCTCAGACTTACTTTTTTGTTTTCACAGTCTGATAGCCATCCCTTACAGTAACCGGTAAACAATTAACACGTCAAATAAGGTTAACAGTTGAAATTTTAACCCGGTTATAATAAATCCCTAAGAGAGTTTTTGTTTTCAAAGTGAGAAACAGTCTGGTAACCGAGCAGTTGAATAGGAAGAACCCTTTTTAGAACATATAAATGAATATATCCGGAAACTGATGCATTTTTTTAAAAAGTGACCCAGTAAAATTGGTGTATCTGGTGAATCCTACGCTAAAAATCATCTGGAAAGCAATGCAATGCGAAAAAACAGTGCAAATGCAGAAAAATGCACTGACTCCAGTTGTTTCAGATAAGCCAGAACATTAAGTTCGGTCGTCATTGAAGGTCCCAATTTTTTGACCTTAAAACCATCCTCCAAAAAAAAGAAACAAAACTGTCGTAATAACAAAGAATTTCACTGTTCGAAGCAAAAATCAAGCAAATATAATTTATAAATAGCAGCTCTTTTCATACAAGGAGTGATGTGTGAAATAAACAAGTATATATATATTTATAGGTAACGGGTATTGAAAAAGCGTGAAATGTTTCCTCTTGTTATTTTTTATTGTTTATGAAAAGACATGACGTTCTTTTACTGCAAAGGATATTATCTCTCTAGCTTCAAAAGAAGTAAGATCACACAGAAATAACCACGTTTTTGCCTTCCATTGGCCAGTTATTAAATGCACTAAAAAGAAATAAAAAATTCTCTTTCCGGTTTCATAACTTCCGACTCACTCCAATAAACAAAACTTCAGTCGATGATGTTGCAAAATGACATGCCTTCGTATTAGTGCTCCTCCAGAAATAAATTTAAATGACTACTTGTTGCAATATAATTGTTTGAATCCCTTTTCGTTTTAATTCTTTACGAACTTTGTTGACTCAACAGGGACCTATTACAAGCAGAAATTTCAAATTTATAATGTCGATACTGCAAACATTTTATTCAATTTGTGTTTAATACAATAACAACCAATGCGAGCTTGTTCAAAACACATTTAGTATTTTGAAAAACTAGGGATTTCTTACCATGTTCCAAATTAACTACTCCCTCACAAATCAAGCACTGCAAGAAACTTCCTCCCAACATCGGAAAAAATTGGGGTAAACGATGTAAATGAAGCCTCCAAAGTTTCAAAACGCATGAAGTATCCAAAAATGCTAATATAAAAATTCCTAATAGAAGTTAGTGACATTATAGCAGAGCACTCACCCAGAAAACTGATGAAACTTAGAAGAAATAACTATTTCCAAAATAAAAAACCATGAAGCATCTCAACAATAATATTCAATAGACTTTGAAAATGAGCGCAAAAGCAGTAAATGAAAAGTTTAATACCCTCTTTCTTGCAAATTCTTTCACGAGTGGCACAACAACACTAAGTGGTAGTTACGAAAAAACAAGACTAGAAGAAGCAACAATCTTTAAAATAGCTAAAAAACTAAATTGAAAACCAATATAAAACGATTTACAAAGTAATTGCATCGCATAATACATTGAAAAAACCATACTTACCTCAAGAACCCGTCTTCAGAGAATAACAGTATATAATAAGAATAATAATCAAAGCAAGCCAAAAGGCTGGTGAAGAAAAACAGATCTGCAAAACACAGGTTAAGCAATACAACGAAGTAAAAACTGGAGCTTAATGTTAAGTTATTTGTCAATGGTAAAGATATCAAGGAATAATTTTCACGCAAAAGCAGTCTAGGAAGTTTTTGACAAGTGAGACTGTTCATCAGGACATTCGTTACTGTCAATTTCCATCGCTGTAAGATCCCCCTCGTTTTTGGAATTACCGCCTTCTAGCATCTTTTTCTCTTTTGAATTTGCAGCATCCTGAAGAACTAAACAAATATGAAACAAACAAAAATTACAACTGTCAAGGAAGAAGCAAAAGCGAGTAATTTTGGAAAATCACTATTACTTTTTTCAGCTTACATTAAAATTTCTCCCAGACGATGCATTGTAATGGCTCGAAGGTCCTGAACCATCACCTGCGTATCTCCTCGTTGTACCACACTTTTTCTTTTTACTCGCCTTAAAGATTTAAGGTTAGATAAAAATTTGACTTTAAAAACACATGTAACCGCCTCAAAGTTAACGACGAATAAAAGCAAACAAACCTGCACGAACGGGTCGCCACTTAAATACGCTTCACTTAACGGCTCAGAAAAAGTGGTACTTGACTGAAAACGTACATCTTCCTCTATTACACTAATCCAAGGCTAAAAATAAATCTTACAATTACACGACTTTGTAAAAGCTTTAAAAAAGGAAAAAAATAAAACAAAAAGCAAACGACCTGAACATTCAAGAGAATTGTAAAAAATAAACAAGTGAGAGGGAAAGAAAAGGCAATACCAAATAAATAATAATTTTTTGCATCCCTATATAACTCTGATGAAAATACTCACGTCAAAATCTCCTCAAAAACTATTTAGTACAACGAGCTGCGAAGTTATATAAGTACTAGAAAAAATATACCTTAGGTAAACAATTAAGGTTTGGTTTTGTATTTTTACAAGGCAGTGGATTATTGGAAAGTCTATGCAATTTCATAGCTTTTTTTGCTCTGGAACTGCTTTCATTCACTTCCTGAAAAAGAAACACGAAATAAACAGAGCCTTCAAAAATTTAGTCACAAATCAAAGATAGTTTTTGGTAGAGATCAAGACAGTGAAAACTGATAAATCACATCCACAATTATTTCTTTTTTGAAGACACGAGTAAACTGCAAATTTAGAACTATCTTAATAAATGAAACTCTGATTGCAAAAAAAAAAAATTTCTTAGTTTCCAAAACTAAACCTTGACAGGTCGACTGCTAGCAGCAATTACTGTTTCTGCAGAATCGGTGCTCCACGAAAGCTCGTCAGCTCAAATAAATTTATGATCATACATAGGTGTGAATGACGTGAAATTTTATTCTAATTTTGCAATAAAATTACTTGTTGCTTCCGATGTTACAAGCTCGTTAGCAATGTCCGAAACATTGAACGGAGCTTCCTGACGTAAATAAGCTTCTAAACGTGGTAAGCTAGACTCCATCAATGTCCTCAGCAAAAGGTAGTCATTTCTTGATTCCAAGAACTAAAATATTTTCAAAAAATTGGCCCTCTAGAATTGAAAAAACAACAATAAAAAATACCGTTAACATTAAAACACAGTTAATAATAACTTACCGCTGCGGCTTCACTCCCAAAACGTTCTTCCCCTTCAGATGCATTGTTTAACTAAATTAAACTAGTGAAAACCGGACCACAATAGGATTAAAATATAATGCTGCCTACTAATACAAAATGAGCAAAGAAGAAGTTGAAAATCAACCGTTAGTTGCATCAAAACATCTGAATAACCGGTGGGGCTATTTGACGACAAATTCGCAATGGCAACAAAACGTCGAAAGTAACCAGAAAACAGTTCACTCATCTTCTTTGAGAAATCTCCAGCGGAAAGACCTAAAGTTAATAAAACTATGATGCAGAATAGAGAGCTAAATAAATAAGTGACGCCAAGCTTACGTATATTCCTCACAAAAAATATATTAGCCAAAGAGATTTCAAACGAACCGTCTGAACTATTGACTAAGAGTGATAAAAGCCTCTGGAGGAACAAACGGTCGATGTTTAAGGCACTAGCTGCTACGTCAACACGCCCAATTTCAGGAACATCTACAAATCTCCTCAAATTGGGGTCAGCTTCAAATAACCGATTAACCATCCCTTCTCCAAGTTGGTAACGTCGAGCAACACTTTCCAAGTCTTAAAAAAGTCACTCAACTCCAAATGCGAAATAATAAATACTTGTAGCACTTGTTACAAAGTTTCCAGATAAGAAGCAAAATAAAAGTAGAAATGACTGAAAGTACCCAACATTATTAAAATACCAGTCGGTAACTAAAAAAAGTATTATTACCTTCAGAAGAAGGGTGGTTATTATCATCCAAAACATGTTCAATAATATATCTCCGCATCTGCTGACGATACGTTCCAAAAGTAGACAGATCACCAGACAGCAAACGCATGAAGTCAGTTGTATCGAGCACTTCACAACACATTGTAATCAACAGATTTAGGAAACCTGAGTAAATAAAGAATAATATTTAGCAGAAAACTCAACTATTCAGTAAAACTTTGCCAGATACGAATCTTCAATGAAAAATTTGCACTCACTAATTTTGCTTCCCAGCTGTTCCTTTCCCCTTACAGATGCAAGAGACTTCCGGCCCTCCACTACAAAAAAAATCTAGAAAAGCTGTCCCCAAAAGTAACAAAACCTACCGCCACCCGCATGCGAATATTGATATCCTTCTCTACGTAAAAACTGACCGACTGTTGCACCTCCAGGCGCATTTAATATGTCTGCTATCAAATGAAGCACTTGTAATTCGCGACTCCATCTTCCATCGCCTCCTAAAATCTTGACAACAATTAGCAATGTCCAGTTAAAAGAAGTTAGTTTTTTCAATAAAAAATACAAATTAGGAGCATTATCGATGTAAAAATTAGTAAAAAGCTCCAGAATTCTAG